TGATAAAAGAAATGAACACACTATGTTACTAATAGAATAAGAGTTGATTTTCTGTAGGTCAAACAAAACAGATGTTGCCGTTGTGCTATTCAATAACAGTAACTTAAATGTAATTTATTCTATGTTTAGAATCGATTAGAAATAAATATATATTTTATATTCAGAAAATATATTGTAAATCCTAGGTACACTGAATTAATGAGCCGTTGAATTAGATGTAAATTATGCAAAAACTACAAAGTTGATGAACATGACTGAGGGTTCATGACCAACTAATCTCCATGAAAATTAGATTTGTCGATGATATGAATATAACTGCATACCATATATTATTTTCTATTGTAAGAGGCTACCCTAAAACTGACCCTACATGTTAATTATGCGATAATTTCAAATTCAACAAACCATGAGCGAGGGGCTGGGTTATATCATCTTCATGGACATGAAATGTGCAAAACCAATACAAAGAGAATACAAAATAAAATTAATTTTCAATTAAAGATTTTTGAAAATTAATGATTTCCCCAAAACTGACTATCACAAACTGTTACATATTGTTGACGCCATCGCTCCCACCGGAAACACGCTTCCACGTTTTTGTTGATGAAAGACAAGGATCAAGTCCTTTGTATTTAATCACACCAGTGAAATATACATGTTACTCTCAATTTATTTAATGCAAAAATATATTAACATAATGTTATATTTTGATACACTAATCTTATACATGTCACAACTATTTCATACGCCAACTTTAGTTCACCTACTGCTTATAGTATCTTAGACACAGAACTATTCACGAAAAAATTACACTGACAAAGAACCATGAAAATTATATCAACGTCAAATAACCCTGACAACTGGACATGTACAACTAGAAATCATTCCATATAGCTGACCTACTGATTACTGTATCCGATAAACGGGCCTAATCAGGAAACTAAATATTCACCAGTGAACCATAACAATGAAGTCAAGGTCAGATGAACACTGCAATTTTGAAATGTACACCTCACAGTCATTGCATATACCAAATGTAGTTGACGAACTTCTTATGGTATCAGAGAGACTGACCTAATCAAAAAAACTTGATGTTGACCATTGCAACAATGAAAATGAAGTAATGATAAGATTAACACTCTGGACTAGACATGACAAATTAAACTTATCCCATACAACAAATATAGTAGACCTATTGATAAAAGTACCTAACAATAAAATAAAAAAAGATACACATGTTAAAAAGGCCAAAAAAAGTACGAAGTTGAAGAGCAGAAAGGACCAAATACAGCTGAGGTAATCTAGATACTGGCTTAATCATAAAAACTTAAAATTGACCAATGAACCATGATAATGAATCCAGTTGAGCCTTGCCAGATTGACATGCACACCCTAAAATAATTTAATGCACAGAATAAAGTAAACCTATTGCTAATAGATTGTGAGAAAAAAAACCTTGTCATAAAATCTATAGAATTTATAAATGAACCCTGAATTGAGGTCAAGGCTAGATGAATCGTGCTAGACAGACACGTACACCTCACAAATGTTCCAGACACAATCTATGGCTGACCTAAAAAGTTCATATCAAAATGATCAAATCTGTGTACAAAACGTCAACAAAAGTAATGACCACAACTACAGGGTAAGCTTTTTTTAATAACAGAAAACATAACCTGAAATGAGAAGGACTATCGGAGAATGGACATACCAGAAACATAATCCCATCCTACTTATGTAAATGGGTCAAAAGTGAAAATCCGATAATAATCAAAACTTTGACGCATTGTGGATGTGATATGTTTCTATATTAATAGCTGACTTTATTTAGAGAAATAATTGGGAATTTTGGAGAATTGAAAGAATGTAGCAAAATTCTCAATGCATTAGCAATTTGCACGAAAAACATCTATGTTCAGACAGATTAAAAACATTTATTATATAATGATATTGACCATTTTTTCTCATATGGGTATACCAATAAAATTTGGGCTTATTTTGGACTATAGTGTGGGACTGCCGCATTCAAAAACCAAAGTATTAAGCTTCCTCGTAAGGTTCACATAAATTGCATCATGCATTATGCATTATACAAGATAAACAAAACCTGCATAATCTAAGCAAATGGTATCTTAATCATCCAGATTTGGCTTTTGCAGAAATTTCCTTGCATTGCCATGTTTTTTACATATTGTACAATCACAACAAATTGATGGTGTTTGTTTTCAAAGGAACTTTCATCCATTAAGTTTAGTTTACCTTAAAGTTTATAGTTTCAGAGAAGACAAAACAACAATGAAATTTCCATCAAGGTTAAGTTGAAATGTGTTGATGGCTTAGAGAAAGGCGAAAGATACCAATGTGATGTTCAAATTCATTAGTCGAAAACAAACTGACAATACCGTGGCAAAAAACGAAAAATGACGAAAAGACAAACAATAGTATACAAAACACAACATAGAAAACTAAAGATTGAGCAAAACGAACCCTAACAAAAACCGAAGGTGCTCTCAGGTACTCCGGAATAGAAGAATAAGCAGATCCTACTCCATATGTTGCATCGTGCTAAAGTACCTTTCTCCCATTAAACATATCATATGCAAAATCCTTAGTTTTCATTTATTAAATTATTAAATACTCGAATCACACAAACCCATTGTTATCTTTCAATAATTTTGATGTATTAAAGTGGTACAAAAAACAATTTATAAAGGTTTTCGCGGAGCCAGTGTCTTGCTTGATATTACTGTTGTTACTGCTAAAGTGTGATGTGTAATGTTGATAACTAAACTAAGTCCATATATGGATAAAATGTATAATTTTCTTTTTTAAACCGAATTTGTCTTCCAGATGCCATTTCATGATTTTGAAGAACTTCTGTTGAGGTTTCATAATTAACATGCTATTAAGATCAATATGATTGATGAAGATAAAACCGTATCTCAAGATCGTTATGTTTGGCCTCCGCGACAAAATGTTTTTGAAGACTTATTCTTAAAAAATGCTTCAGCAGCACATATCTTCAATATACATCTACTATATATTTCTTCTTCGTACACTTTTATCCTTTATAATAATCTTGAGATACCTTTTTCAGGCAAGCATCACGAGCAGTGTATGACGTGTGACAATAATAGTATGGTGCAGCGATACATCTTAATGTTTATGATGTTTGTGATTTGGATCGTTAGACTAATTTGTTGGATTATCAACTTTCATTTCACTTTTTTGTCACAAGACATAATTCCAAGCGTTACAATGTACATTGTGTATATTTTCATACTTTGGTATTTTCTACAACAAGGATTTTTTAAGAAAGATTTCATTCATCATAGCGGTAAACACAGATTACATGACTTTCTTGGATCCGAAAAAGCAAGAAAATTTTATGTAAACCTATCAATTGAATATTAAAAGTAAAGAAAAAAGCATTTTTGTTTGTTTTTATACTTTCCAACATTTAGTCCGAGGTTGCTATGACGTCTAATGGCATTTTAAGAACTTGTTTGTGAGGTCAGACATCAACGATTTGTTCATATTTCACTTCAAATGCAGAAAACATCCTTTGTGAAGTAGTTAAATCATACACCATTTGACTCCTAAAATTTATTCTACTCTACGAATATGTAACCTCTATTTACATACTGACCCCTGAAGCACAAACGGAAACTTTATTTTCATCAACCTACTCATTGAAACAGTTACTCGTATTATCATTCAGAAACATGAGGCTGTCAAAATGACAGCAAACCGGGTTCTTAATACATTAATAAAGTTAATTTAAAGCTAAAAAAGGGCAATAACTCTTGAACCGCAATAGTGAGGTTTGTCACCGGTAAATACAAATACAAATTTAAAAATTCATTGAGGAGCATTCGCATTGTATTGCAGAGAAACGAGATGAAGTTCCCTTTTCCAATCAAACAAGAACCATAACGTTTTAATAGAGAAAAAAGTGAAAATCGTCAAAATCATACTTGACCTTAATTTCTTCAATACAGGTAGTAACAACATATTAAAATTATAAGCATAGGTTTAACTGTTCATACGATATTACATGGAAAAAACATAGAGAACCAATTCCATTTAAATCAATCGCCTCTGTGGTCTCATGATAGCATGATCTCCTCTAGTGCGAGAGGGCGTAGTGGGTCAAACCAAAGACTTTAAAATTGGTATGTACTGCTTCTCCGCTACACATGCGTCATTATAGAGGTAAAAGCAAAGACTTGTCGAGACCAAATCAAATCAAAGAATTTTAAATTGGCATGTGCTTCTTCTACCATAAGCACGCAGCGTTTAGGAACGGTCGGTTCGGAATCAGAATATGCGTTCGTGGAAGATTGAAATATCCCCCTGCAGACTATTGATATCACTTTATGATCAATTGTGTTTTCCTGGTATAAGACAGGGTTCATATTTATATCACATTAACATGTATAACTTCTCGTCCTAATATGCATGAAATTTAAGAGGGTCTTTACAAAAAAGAGAATAATGGGCAAAATGTGCAGAATAAAGTTGCAACAAAATAAAGAATAGAAAAAAATACGCAAAAAAGAGAGAAATGGGGTTTTAAAATATAACGAATGGAGAAGAATAAGCAAATTAAAACAAAAGAAAAGAGAAAAATGCTCTTAAAAATAAAGAATAAAGGCATAAAGTACCACCCTCCCCACGCTCCCACCACACCCCATCCAGACACTCAACAATAGACGGTAAATTGATATCAATGTAAAATCGATTGGTTTTCTTGTGCTTTAAGTTTTTGACTAAACTTTTTATCGTCTTTTATAAAATCATCCTTCCGAAAACATTTTTATTATATTTATATATTGATGTTTAAAGTTATAAATTTTAGGATGAATAAATTCCATGCTACATCGATTTAGACGTCACCGTCTATTGCACAGTAAACATAATGGAAATAACTAGTTAACAAAGAGATTGATTTTTAAGTTATTTATAACACATAGAAGTTTAAAACGGTAGGTTATATATTTATGTTAATCTTGCAACTGATAAATGTAAATTTCATCATATATAAAGATTTATATTTTACGAAAATTTTGAAAAAGATTTGAAGACTGAGGGATAATTGATTAAAGTCCATATTTCATTCAAATTGAGGACGATATAATGTGTTAATATCATTTTCGGAATATGCTTTACTAGAGCGAGACGCTATACGATCGAGCCGGATATTTATATTCTAGCTCACAAGGTAATATTTCTCTTTAAGACATTTCAACCCTTCTTTAAGTCAAGCAGTATATTATAGCATATAATGCATATATAGGATATTAAGGTCACAGTACGCACATATCATGTTTTGTTCAAGACGACACACCGCCTGAGTTTTAACTGGAAAAGATTTTCAACCTTTCTTGACGTCTAGCGGTAATTTTATCATAGGATGCATAATTAGGACATTATATAATTCATGTTCAGGACAACATATATGATGCATATTCAGGACATCATATAATTCATATTCAGGACATCATATGATGCATATTCAGGACATCATATGATGCACATTCAGGACATCATATGACGCATATTCAGGACATCATATGACGCATATTCAGGACATCATATGACGCATATTCAGGACATCATATGATGCATATTCAGGACAACATATGGATAAACCATGTGTTGTACTAGACCGACACGAAACACGATTCTGATTTGTAACGTGCTATATCACAAGGTAACAGTATACTTTAAGGCATTTAAACCTATTAGGACACGTCTATACTTATATCGGTTAATATCTCATACATATTCTGGACGACAGCATATGCAGATACCATGCTTTGTTTGGACGAACACGAAGTCTGTGGAGGCTTTTTGACGTGCTATATCACAAGCAATCTCCGACACAGAGTTCATATTCGTTCCGTTAGAGGTTGCAATACTTCACTTAATATGTCATATTGAATGTAGGGAAAACGGCAGTATATGTTTTCCATAGGAGACAATACTAACATTTTCTACATTTACCACTTTTTATAATAAAAACTAGAACAAAACAGTCAAGTGTAATATAAGTACTTTATTATTCTGTTTTAGAAATTGAGGTCAAATGGTGGCTTGTTTATCGCATCCATTGCCACCGTCATTTTACATCTAATTTATGAAAATTTTGAAACCTTTTAGAATAATTCTCAAAAAATATTTCAATGTGTTTTAAAATTTATACAACAATAATACACACATCAGTTATTCATAAATAAAAGTTGACTGCCTTCATCTTTCTTGGGTACACAAAAAGCCAACCTAAAGCCATGAACAGTCAATACTACTTTTTTCCCTGTAGTATTACGAAGTATGGAACGGAACGGATATGGTCTCTGCGTCGAAGATTGTCTGACAAGGTACAAGTTCACTGGAAGACGTTTCAACCTACTCGGACACTTCTTGACGTCCAGCGGTAAATGTTACATGGATATTCAAGACGACAGCATATTGCTATACCTTGCCTCGTATTAGACCGCGACATAACAGTAGTCGGACTTTAAACATGCTAGCTCATAAACTATTCGTTATATTATTTGTGTATCTGATTTTATAAAAAACAAACATTGTAATACATTACTTTGCTCATCTCAATAGAATACAAATATCTCTATCTCTAACAGTCGCTTGAAGACATTTAAATCTTACTGAAACATTATTCTGGCTCCTAAAAAAATCAATGTTTGTGCTGAACTCTAAGATCGTACAAACTGATGAATCATCTAACCGGAATCGTAAACCGAATGATAAGTATTTGCTTGTGTTAAAAATTGTACTTAAAGAATCTGTTTCTCATTTTTTCGTTTATTGTAGGTGAAGAAGAAACGATGAATGTGTAAGTTGAAACAGAGGTGGAAAGAAAACAAATACAGCACGGGTGAAAGATGTTCGCCCTTTTTTCATTCAACTTTTCTGAAAGCTTCGTTGAAACTGTTCATCTGTCCTGCATATTATTTTTTCTGGTTTTGGGAATACTCATAATTATAGTATTTCTATGGATATTCTTGAAATATGACCACACAAATTCTGACACTTTATTTCTTGCTTTGATAATAGGATTTTTTCATCAATGTTTTGTGTCAATGAACTGGCTAAAATCGACATATCATCTAAATGGAATTACTGTTTTCGTGTTCGATTGGTACACTTTTCCCGTCGTTTGTTTCATATTTACTTTTGGCGTGGTGTGCATGATAGATTGTTCAAAAGAGGAGTCTACAACAAGAATATTTGCATATGGAGTTTACATTTCCGCGGTTTTACTGCTAGTTTTTGGAATGGGAGTTTACGGATTCAGTAATCAACATGCAAATCATTATAGCTTGAAGTTTAACAAAATAGCAATTCTAGTTAACATGATCACAATTGTGAGTTATGCTTTGGAATATGTTTTAGTCTATGCCCCGATCACTGTGATCCTGATCTGGAACATGAAGGGATGTGTGCTTATTACAGGTCAAAAAGGTAAATATATGTTTCTTTCCTCATACATGTATGAGGGTCTAGATGGAAGGTCTTTATTTCTGTTTTCTTTAATTCTTATTTCGTTATATATATATATCAGCACTACATCATCCTCTATTTTTTGTTCGGCCAACTGTTTTTCCTTGCCCCTTATTCTGTAAACTTCAATAAAATTGAAAATGGAAATGGGGAATGTGTCAAAGAGACAATAACCCGACCATAGAGCAGACAACAGCCGAAGGCCACCAATGGGTCTTCAATGCAGCGAGAAACTCCCGCACCCGGAGGCGTCCTTCAGCTGGCCCCTTCAAGTATACCATCTTATATTATTTCTTCTTTGACGAATAAATTAGATGCGAGATAAACTTAAATAAGACAACAACCTTCTTTGACGAATAAATTAGATACGAGGTAAACTTAAATAAGACAATAACCTTCTTTGACGAATAAATTAGATGCGAGGTAAACTTAAATAAGACAATACTCTTCTTTGACGAATAAATTAGATGCGAGGTAAACTTAAATAAGACAATACCCTTCTTTGACGAATAAATTAGATGCGAGGTAAACTTAAATAAGACAACAACACATAACGGTATTTGTCAAAACAATTTGTCATGCATTAAACCGCCAAAATTCCAAACAATTAAATTTATTGAATTTTCAAGAGACTTTCAAAGATCACACATCAACGCGAAAAAAAAAGATTCACCTACAACGTTCATGACCTAGGATTAACACATAAACTTACTTAGCCCTCAATCATCCCCATTTCAATCCTGATCATCGTCGGAGGTATTAGAAAAGTAACATACAACAAAGTACAATGAAAGTAACTTTATATGCAGCACATACAACTAAACAAATCAATAAATGCACCATCTCCTTTTATTTCTTGGAGTGAACACTTCAATTTTATATCACTTTTTAAAAAAAATGATTGAAATGATTCAATGTTTTAACATTGTATTTCATGTATTGTAAACCAACTAATTTTCGTGAGCAAAAACAATAGCGCGAGTATAAATCGTCACGAATACGCAAAACTTGGATCTTTCCTATTTAACTACATCAAGTAAACTTGAAATGTCGCGAAATTCGATCGCTACGAAGTGGACTAGAAAGGACGAAACGCAAAACAAAGTAACCGCGAAAATAATTTGGTTTACAGTTCATACAATTCTGCGAAAATTAAAATTTTTCAAATTCAGTTTTGAAGAAACTTTTTTAAACTAAAATCCAAACTGAAATGTTTGAAATTTGTGAAATCTTAATTCTCGTGTATCGTTGTATCTTAAAACATGCCAAATTACTCTATTCTGACTTGATTTTGTACTAAGGATTAAAAAAATCTGCATTTAAAAATGGTACTAATACTTTTTTTTTTATTTCTTATAATAATCAACATTAAATTTTTCAGGTGGACATCACGAGCAGTGTATAAAGAGTGATCATAATATTAAAGTACAGCGACACATCTTAAGGTTTATGTTGTTTATGATTTGGATCGTGAGACCATTTTTGTGGACTATAAACTTTCATTACAATTTTGTGACACAAGATTTTATTCCAAGCATGGCAGTGTGCATGGTGTATATGTTTTTACTTTGGGATTTTGGTATTTTCTACTTGAGAGACTTTTTAGGCTGGCAGCCAATCAAGCCGGCACCACCATTGTTTTCTTATCATCCAATTTTCATCTAAAACCAAACAAAAAACTGTATAAGACTTAAACATTCAATGAACCTTAAACTCATAGTAAACTGAAATAGCACCTCCTTTGTTAACTGAAATAGACATTTACACGTCTTGTCATGATTCTTTTCAGCTTAAATCCAGTTTTATATGCCAATGATACTAGAAGCCACTTTTTATTCAATACAAAAACGTTCTGAAATTTGAGATCTTTTTTCTTTTTCATTTTGTCTTGTTTCTATTCTACACAATTAGCAGATTAAGAAACAATATTGAAATAGAAAATTGAATAATCTAACATTTTGTAATTACACATGTCATTTTGAATACATGATTTATGTAAGTTGAAATGAGATATGTTATAATGTATAATCCATAGCCAAGAAGCTATCACAATTACAAGAAACAAGTTGTTTATTACAGTTATTAGTGTAATTGTTAAAGCAATGTAGGATCTTAACCCCGAACTGAACAGTAGGTCAATATCACACTTAATATCAACTCTGTTGTCAGCTCTAGTAATGATATCAATGAAAAGTTCTGGATGAATAATTCTCAACTTATTGCACGGAATCAACTTTAAATGCCATTTCTAAATCAATCAAGGACCATCGCAGAAGCATAGGTTCATATTACATTTACATTTCTCGTCCTGGTAATTTATGCATGTAATATTTGCTACTTGACATTAAACAATAATATCGTCATCGTTTTCGTTGACCAAGCAATAAAGACATCAAAGTAAAACTTATGCTTTTGTTGTGTTCAAATTCATGTATAAATATTTTACCAATAATTTAAAAATCATTCTTTTATATAAACATGTTTATTACATATAATTTATATGTAGGTCTTAAGCGTTCAACTTCATGATCAATAAATTCCTCGATGTAACAAAACCTGTTGCATTATAAAAATGAGGAAAATTAACGTAGAATATGGTTTGAATTTATTTATGGATGAAAGATCATAGAACTGTTTAAAACGGCAAGTTATATAACTTTATTACTCTGGCATATGATCAATCAATTTATTTTTGTTATAAAATAATGAAAATGACTGATTGATAATTGCCTGACATCCTGTTGTAAGGATGTCAGTCATGCATATGTAGGAAGATAACGTGTTAATATCATAAGAATACATTTAACTAGAGAAAGACGATGACTGAATTTGATTTTTAACACTTGCTTTATCACGGTAACAGTTCACTGGAATATTTTTACCCTACACTTCCCGACGTCAGGACATAGCTCATATGGTCATGTATGGTGTATATTCAGGACAGCATCATATTAATATACCTAACTTTGTACTAGACTCACAGCTTCCTGTGGAGTTTTAACGTGTTTGATAACTAGGTGACAGTTCACGGGAAAATATTGGAACCTACCTGGACACATTATTCTTACTCTAAACTATCCAAATTTTGCTGTAACTGTTACGAACGTTCTAAATTAATCCATCAGCAAGAGATTCCGTAAGATGGACATTAAACGTGTCAGTGTGTAAGAATTTGTACTGATATAACTGTGTTCTGACTTATAGTATAATTAAGTTGAAATTAGATCAAGTCATAACAAGAAGGGGAATGAAAGAACAACAGATTTAAAATGTTCATCTTTTCATCAATCATCTCGTCCAGAAGCGTCTTTCAATGTTTTCAACTGTCCGGCATTGCTTTGACTCTGGTTTTTGGAATACTGATACTGATAACACTTCCGATGAAATTTTTAAAGCATAATCACAAACTTTCAAACAGTCTTTTTCTTGTTTTGTTAATCGGATTTTTTCATGAAAGCTTTGCGGCCATGACTACCTGGCTTAAATCAACATATCATTTATATAGCATAAGTCCTTTTGTGTTAGATAGCTACACATTCCCCGTCGTTTGTTTTATATTTACATTTGGTGTATTGTGTATGACAAAATGTTCAAAAGAGGAATTACGAACAAGTACATTTGTATATGGAGTTTACATATTTATTGTTTTGCTACTAATTTTGGGAATTGGAGTTGTTAACAGCTTTAGCAACCAACATGCACATCACATTGTGAAGTTCCACAAACATTACTTTTTCTTTACTGATTACAAAGTAAAACGAAACGGTTGGTCATTAGACAAGATGCTTACAGAACTAGTATCTGTGTTGACATATAACAGTTCGTTTTTTTGTTATGTGTTGGAATATGTTTTAGTCTATGCTCCTGCCACTTTTATCCTGCTGTGGAACGTAAAGAAATTGGTGTCAACAGGTCAACAAGGTAAACTAGTGTATTATTCCTAATTCTGAGACGTTGCTGATTAAGACAGACACAACATAATACTTATCAGTCTTGTTGGTATTTTTCTTTTTCTTTTTTTACACTGTATGAAATCAGTTGATGAAAAGCTCGCAATTGATTATAAATTTAATGCATATCAATATTGGACTAATCGGAATCAAGAATTACCTTCAAATATTGATATATGGATTTCTTTCAATTGGAAGAGGCTTCATTCGCATTTCTTTTTCGCTACCTATGTTTTCTTTTGAATTTTCAGCCGTTCATGCATTTCCGCAATAAAAAAAAAAGAAACAACCCTTTCTTTCATACATGAAGATACAGAGATTTTGTTCGGAAGTATAACACTTCATGTTGAATTGACGCAATGAAGATTTTTGGTATTCACTACGTGCTAAAGGAGTACAGTGATGAAAAGATATTCAAAGTTGAAGAAAGTTAAGACTTTTGATTTCGATATAGTTAGACGTGTCACCGGTTTCAACCGTGACAAAGAACTAATTCATTTAATGAAAGCGTATTTTATCATAATAAAACACTTAGCAACAAATAAAAAATAGTTAAATGTGCTGTCATAATAAGTGAAAAATTGAAGAGCTTAATTGTCAGCATTTATAAAAATTCAATTCATATGATCTAAATATAAAACGAAGATGTGGTATGATTGCCAATGAGACAACTATCCATCCAAGTCACAATGTGTAAAAAGTAAACAATTATAGGTCAAAGTACGGCATTCAACACGGAGCCTTGGCTCGCAGCAAACAGCAAGCTATGAAGGGCTCCAAAATGAAACGAGAAACCCTTATGAACCACATCAACAAACGACAACCACTGATCAACAGGCTCCTGACTTAGGACTTAGGACAGGTGCAAACAAATGCAGCGGGTTTAAACGTTTTACCAGGCGTCAACCGTCACCCTTACCTGAAACAGTAGTGTAACATTACAACATAGAAAGACACACTACAAAATATCAATAAGCTTACTTTTCTGTATATATAATAGGAGGATAAACACCTAAAACGAATACTAGCATTAGGGATGAACGAATAGATTAAAGACTATTGACTTAATTACATTTCTGATACAATGACTGACATAAAAGAGAGGTGAAAGATACCAGAGAGACATTCAAACTCATAAGTTGAACATAAACTGACAACGCCATTGCTAAAAAAAAAAGACCAACAGACAAACAATAGTAGTCCATAAAACACAACGTGGAAAGCTAAGACTGAGCAACACGAACCCCACCAAAAACCGGGGGTGATCTCCGGTGCTCCGGAAGGGTAAGCAGATCCTGCTCCACATGTGGCACCCGTCGTGTTGCTCATGTTAGTACAAACCCGATAATGAGTCTAATTCGGTCGGTCACATTCGGGAAAAGGGGGACGGAATTGTAGTTGTTCACAGAAAATTCCAAATATAAAACTGAAATCAAATAGTTATAGAAATACGTTCTTTTTACACTATAGCACATCTTAATTGAGACGTCTTTGTTGTGTATAGTGTCATGAATTATAGAAGTGGTAAGATCTTTGAATAATGTCTTTATGTATACCAACATTGATTTTATTTTTCTAATTGTTGAATAAATATACCAAATCAATGAATTTTCATCTCGTTTAAAACGTATTGTCCTACATATGCAAAGACGAACATGGTTTCTATGACTTAAAATAGGATTGCAGTAAATTCGAATACTTTTAGATTACTGCTTTGTTTCTTTATCGTCTTGTTTTTCTTTGTTTATGTGGTTAGTACTTATATGAAAATGCCCTTTCCAGTGATAACTTTAACAATGTGTTCTTTAATGGGATTAATAAACCACTGTCAACAGTTAATATCAGGGGAGCGGGAGAGGGCTGTGCTCACACCTATTTTAATGTGTTTTGTTTCCGGCGAAAGCGACGCCGGTGTCAATTATTGCTGGACTTTGTGATTATGTCAGTTTAAGGGAACCACTTAAGATATTAGTCAGTGATACTTTGTATGTAGCATAGACGCATCTCATTTTGATGGAGAGTATTTGGTGCTTTTTTCCGCAGTCATGGTGATTTGATGTTGAATAAATTTCAACATTGCCATGATAATACCGAAATTACACACAGGCGGAACTTATATAGATATCATAATGTAAAATTGACAATGGAAATGGGGAATATGTCAAAGAGACAACAACCCGACCAAAGAGCAGACAACAGCCGAAGGCCACCAATGGGTCTTCAACGCAGCAAGAAAATTCCGCACCCGGAGGTGGTCCTCAGCTGGCCCCTAAATAAAATTGTGTACTAGTTCAGTGAAAATGGACGTCACACTTAACTCCAAAACATATAAATGAACTAAAAGTAAAAAAACATACAAGACCAACAAAGGCCAGAGGCTCCTGACTTGCGACAGGCACAAAAATGCGGCGGGGTTAAACATGTTTTATGAGATTTCAATCCTCCCCCTATACCTCTAGCCAACGTAGAATAAAGAAACACATAGTAATACGCACAGTAAAACTCAGTTTAATAGAAGTCCGAGTCCGATGTCAGAATAGGTAACAAAAGAAATAAAGCAAAATGACAATTATACATAAATGAACAAAGGACTACTAGCGGTTACTGACATGCCAGCTCCAGACCTCAATTAAACTGATTGAAAAATTATGTCTTCATCATATGAAAATCAAGTACAATCCCTCCTGTTCGGGGTTTAGTATCATACCATCATAAAATATATGAGAAGAACATAACACGTATCATGCCAACAACTGGTTTTAGAATAAATGTGTTTATTTCCGATGCAAAGACCCTATGAGTGAATCAATATTAATACCAAAATATGCAATCCTTAATGACTTGACAACAGTATCGTAACTATATCCTTCCCGAACAAGTCTGTTAAAAAGTTTGATTAGCTTTTGAGGTGAATGCCGACATTTTTGTGCTTTGTAAAGAATATTACCATAAAAAATTGGATGTGAAATATCTGAACGTATAAGATGTCTGCATGTTGATTTATGTTTACGAATGATGTCCTTGTACCGATGATAAAATTTAGTAAATATTTTGACTAGTTTGTGATATCGAAAACCCTTGTATAATATTTTTTTAAGATGAACTGCTAATGTTAAGTCAATGATATTTGGATGCAAATGTATTGGCATTTGCAAGTATTGTTTCCATGGAGATTATATAGCCCCAAACTCTGATCATGGTTCATTGACTTTGAAACTTTTACATAGTTTACAAGTTGATGTTTGTGTTTAGGTTTGTTTAAAGGGAACGACTTATAATAAGTCAATGGTATTTGGTATGCAGTTGTATTAGCATTGGCACATCTCATTCCAAGGAGATTGTTAAGCCATGTACCTTCAGTCATGGTTCATCGACTTTGAATATTTGCATAACTTATATGTTAAAGTATTGCTATTTTAATTTCAACATATCAAAATAACAAAAAGGCGAGACATATCTCTGTGATAACAGTTTATTTATTGTACCAAGTGTACTAGTAAGTAGAATAGATAGTGTTTTAGAGGAACAATGGCTTGAAGACGAAATAAATCTATATTTTAAGGAGTTTTGTGCAGCTTCGGAAGCTAGTACATAGTTGGAACTTTCATTGTATTTGGTTCTGCTTGTTAAGAGGTAGCTAAAAGTTTATGTGTGTTACAGATGTCATTTTCCGAATATGAAGTCAGTTGAAATGTTGGTGAATTCATGATTTCATTTTGTAGAACATCAATGTAAAATTTACGTGAAAAAATAATTATATTGTTAGCAGCCTTATCAGCCGGGACAAAAATATATTCCTCGGCGAGTTCTTTTAGCTTATGTTTGATACGGGGAATTGGGCTATTATGGTTGTTGATAGGAGTGAAATGATCTTTAAAATGTTGAATACGTATATCAACTATGTGCATTACCGAATTAAAAAAAAAGAATTTAACGATTTCTTGTCAGCTTTTTCTCGTTTTATCCAATTAGAGCAGTAAGTACGGAGTGAGTCGTGGATGATGTTACGACACTCATTCTAATTTATAATTGACGGGGTCGATATTTAGGTCCTTTATTGAGGAATGATTTCAACTCTCGGTCACAAACGATGTTAAGGTCTCCTGTTATAACATGGGAACTGGGGCCATAAATGTATTCGGATTTACTGCAATTTCATGAGGTAGGTGTATTGTCACTGATATTAACATCTTTACACACTTCGCTTTAATCAAACACATATTTCCGGGTAGATTTTTTGTTAACATAACAAATAAGAGGGAGTCCAGTACTATCAAAATAGCCAGGAATTTGTTCTTTAACAGAATGATTATTAAACATACCGTCTATATTTACAAAATCAAAACCTTTATTGACATATTTAATTTTAATAAAATGTTTTTTGTGATCTTCAGGGCGATCAATTTTGGGAAATAATTTAGAATAACAATATGCAATTATAATTTGGACGATTTCATACTTAGGACTGCAAGATGGAATTGTGTTGCATTCCTCCAAAATTTGATGTAATTTATTAACAGGCAAAGAACAGAGCTTAGTTAACAGATAGTGTCTACCGTTGTTTTTTGAAATAGAAATTAGGTCCGAAATATTTGTATTGTTATTACAAAATTTTCTTTGATTGCGATTTATTCTACGCCCATGAGAACGGTTTTACGTACTGTTTTAGAAACTATATCCAAAATGTTAACAGAATCTGTTCTAGATATATTTCCAATTCCCATGATATTGTTGTTAAGACCCAGAGGATAGACTGTCTGTAATTTTTCTAATCCAATTTAATTCAATTATTTTTCGTGATCATACAAATTTTGAATGAGATTCCCCAGGCTGCTTATTAACTACTTCTAAAGGTTGAACTGTTAAATACTTAAAAGGATGATTGTGCTTCTTAAGGTGTTGATAAATGATACCTTCAATTAAAAAAATGAACACACTGTGTGATTTAGAGGACTAGAGTTTATTTTGTGTATGTCAAACATAACAGATGTTATCGTGCTTATCAATTTCAGATATTTACCTGTAACGTATTCTTATATGTTTATTGTCAATTAGAAATAAATATATATATTATGAGTTTAGAAATCATGCTGTTAATCCTAGGTTTACTAAAATAATGAACTGTTGACACAGAACCATGTTTTGCTTTTATGTAAATTTGATAGTTTAATACAATTGTGGAAATTAAAATGGCAACACTATTAGATATTATAGTAACCGATGTAATCTATGCAAAAACTACAAAGTCAGCGAACCATGACTAAGGGTGCATGACCAAATAATCTCCATCAAATTAAGATATGTCGATGGAATGATTTAAACTGCATACCATGTATTATTTTTTGTTGTAAGAAGTTACTCTAAAACTGACCAAACAAAGAAATTATGCGAAAGTGTCGAAAAATTAGCGAGTAGGCTGGGTTATATAATCTTCGGGAGATCGAATATATAACAACGGAATACCAAATCTCATGACTTTACCATGGTGGTTTCCCTAAAACTGACCTATCACAACATTAAATAAATCGTTGACGCCACCGCCACTTCTGGAACACACCTGAATTACCACGTTGAGGCGAGACAATGATCAACTCTGAAGCCAATTGAATTTTTCATACTAGTCATATATACATGTTACTCTTAATTTATCTAATGCAAACATATATTAAGATAATGTTATCTGTTGATACATGAATCTTGTACATCTCACAAGTATGTATACGCAAAATATCGTTTACCTACCGCTTATAGTATGTGAGACACGAATGAATCTTGTACATCCCACAAGTATGTATACGCACAATATCGTTTACCTACCGCTTATAGTATGTGAGACACTTATTACGAAAGAATCACACTGACAAAGGACCAGAAAAACGATATTAAGATCAAATGCCCCTGCCAACTGGACATATACATCTAGCAACTATTCAATATCGTTGACCTACTGCTTATTGTATCTGATAAACGGACCTTATCGGGAAACTAGATATCCATCAGTGAACCATATGAGGTCAAGATCAGATGAATACTGCAAATTTGACTTGTACACCTTACACTCATTCCATACTCCGAATGTAGTTGACGTACTGCTTATAATATCAGAGAAACTGACCTAATCAAGAAAACTTGATGTTGACCATTGAAACAATGAAAACGAAGTAATGGTAAGATGAACACTGTTGACTAGACATGACATATCAAACTTATCCCTTTCACCAAATATAGTAGCCCTATTGATAAAAGTATCTGAGAATAAGATAAAAGTTAACCTAATCATGAAAACTTAAAATTGACTAATGAACATTGAAAATATAGACAGAAGAACCCTGTCAGATGGACGTACACACCTAACCATAATTTAATGCACAAACTAAAGCTAAACCTACTGCTAATAGATTGCGAGAAACAAACCTTGACATGAAATCTAAACATTAATATATGAACCGTAAATTGTGGTCAAGGCTAGATGAATCGTGCTGGACAGACATGCACATCTTACAAATGGTTAAGACACCAGCTATAGTTGACCTTAAAATTTCACATCATGATGAACAAAATAAAATGACTCATTCCATACTCTGAATGTAGTAAGCTTCTTTTAAAACAGAAAACATTAACATGAATTGGAAAGGACTATCTGAGAATGGACATATCAGAAACATAATCCCTTTTGACGCATTGTGGATGTAATATGTTTTTATATTATTAACATACTTTATTTAGAGAATTTAATAGGGTATTTTGAAAATTAAATAAATATAGCAAAATTCAGCAATCAATGAATTTGAAATTTCCCACAAAAACAACTATGATTAGACAGATAAAAGACATTTACTAATTAAGGTTTCATACCATCAGGCAAAGTTGACATTAAATGGATTTGGCTATTTTTTATGTCCTTTTTGGTTTAATAGCTCTTCACCTGTTTCGGTTCTTATATATCATTGGCTTTCAAATATTCGGCTGTTACCGTTCCTGGTGAAGGTAAATCCAGAAAAGTGCTTCGGACGCATGAAATCAATATGATGTTGTTTTTAAATTTTATTATATAATGATATTGACCATTTTTTCTCATATTGTTTATCAATACATTTAGGTCTTATTTGGGCTATAGTCATGATAGTGTGACACTGCCACATTCAAAAACCAAAGAAATAAAACTCCTCGAAAGTTTCCCATCAATTGCATTATGCATTTTACCAGAAAAACTAAAACTGAATAATCTAAGCAAATGGTACCTTAATCATCCAGATTTGGCTTTTGAAGAATTATCCCTGAACTGCCATTTCTTTTTTCACATGTTGTTCAATCCCCAAAAAATGATGGTGTTTTTGTCAAATCACGCACTACGTTTTATTTAGCTCTATAGTTTCAGAGAAGACAAAACAGAAATTTTCACCAAGGTTCAGTTACAATGTGTCAATTGCTAAGAGAGAGTCGAAAAATACCAATGGGATATTCAAACTTATAAGTCGAAAGGAAACTGACAAAACCATGGCAAAAAAACGAAACACGACAAACAAAAAAAAAAAACAGTATACAAAACATAACTTATATAGAAAACTATAGATTGAGCAGTACGAACCCCCGCCTAAAACCGGAAATGATCTCATGTGCTTTGGAAGGGTCAGCAGATCCTGCAGCACATGTTGCATCCGTGCGAAAGTTTATTTCTCCCATTGTTAAGCCTTCCCCGGAGCCAGTATCTTGCCTCAAATTGCTGTTGTTAGTGCAAAAGTGTAATGTGTTATGTTGACAACTTAAACTAAGTTCATTTATGAGTAAAATACACATTTTTTTATTTAGATCGAATTTGTCTTTCAGATGCCATTTTTCTTTATCTTGGGGAAGCTTCTGCTAAAGTTTCATAACATGTTATGAAGATTAACAATAAAGCACTCACACCGTATTTTAAGATTGTTATGTTCAGTTTATCGACAAAATGTTGCAAACTCGACAAAAAACCTTGTACTTGAAATGTTTCAGCGGCAAAAATCTTCAATATATATCTACTATATGATTCTTCTTTGTACAATTTTTATTCTTTATGATAATTTTGAGATACCTTTTTTCAGGCGAGCATAACAAGCAGTACTGTATGACGTGTGACAATAATAGTATGGTACAGCGATACATCTTAATGTTTATGTTGTTTGTGATTTGGATCGTGAGACCAATTTGTTGGATTATCAACTTCAGTTTCACTTTTTTGTCACAAGATATAGTTCCAAGCGTTACAATGTACATTGTGTATATTTTTATGCTTTGGTATTTTCTACAACAAGGATTTTTTTAAGAAAGATTCCATTCATCAAAGCTATAAACACATATTAAATGACTTTCTTTGATCCGAAAAGCAAGAAACCCTAATGTTTATGTCAACCTATCAATTATATATTAAAATGAAAGAAAAAGCAGTTTTTGTTTTTATACTTTCCATCATTTAGTCCGCGATTGTACTTATGGCCTTTGAAGAACTCAGGCAACGTTGACCTCAGACACCTCAAATGGATTTATGACAACGACACATATTAATGTTTATGTTTTCTATGATTTGGATCGTGAGACTATTTTTTTGCATTATTAACTTACATTACAATTTTGTGTCTAAGTTTTTATTTTCTAGCATAAATATAGGTTCAAAGAGTTTTTTAAACCAGAAAAAACACAAAAAAACAAATCTTTATCTTAATCGATACATCTTTACATTTAAGAAAAAAAAAAAGAAAAAACTAATATTGTTTTCAGCTATTTTGTTTTATGTTCTATGTTCTTTAATCTAAGGTCTGAGATGACAATCAACATAACGACGTAGTCATAACATAAAGACCTTACAATACACAATCATAAACTACTATAAATACAAGAACAAAGAACGATAATTCTGACATATCTATGAACAAGTACTTTTGTACAATATAACATTCTAATTATAATGATATTGTCATTTTCATGTACATCTATATTTTCTGTCTTATCTGTATTTGTTTATGCATCTCATAATTTACCTCAATTTAGGATAGACTCTCGAATTTTGAGGAATCAAATTAGGATGAACGGATCATATAAACCCGAAGGCAAATATAATACAAGCCCAAACGAAAAAAAAAAAACAAGTCTAAATTGAAAACAACGTTAAAACCTATGATTGCGTTGGATAAAAACCGCAGCTTTTATACGTGTGCATGCAAAACAAATTTCTTGTTAGAGGGGTCTAAATACAGCACAAACAACATTTTCCAAAAGACCAAAAAAGTGAATAAGTATATTTTAACAAAACGTATTTGACTAACAGGTCGAACAACAAATGTTCTTAAACCCTGCTGACTGCCATTGGCGAATGCCAAATAAACGGATCACAAGGTGTAATAAATGGATCTTAATTAAAAATTTAATACCAAACAGAAAACAATAATCTTGCGGCAAAGATGGTATACCGCAAACAAAGGTGCAAAGATTTTTGTACACCATATCCGGATTTCGACAATTAATGTCTCTTCAGTGATGTTAGGAATCGAAACAGTATTTGGAAGGCCATGTAATTTACCTCAATTTAAGATAGACTCTCAAATTTTGAGGAATCAAATTAGGATGAACGGATCATATAAACCCGAAGGCAAATATAATACAAGCCCAAACGAAAAATATAAACAAGTCTAAATTGAAAACAACGTTCAAACCAATGATTGCGTTGGATAAAAACCGCAATTTTTATACGTGTGCATGCAAAAACAAATTTCTTGTTAGAGGGGTCTAAATACAGCACAAACAACATTTTCCAAAAGACCAAAAAAGTGAATAAGTATATTTTAACAAAACGCATTTGACTAACAGGTCGAACAACAAATGTTCTTAAACCCTGCTGACTGCCATTGGCGATTGCCAAATAAACGGATCACCGATGTAATAAATAGATCTTAATTATAAATTTAATACTAAACAGTAAACAAGAAACTTGCGGAAAAGATGGTATACCGCAAACAAAAGGTGCGAAGGTTTTTGTACACCATATCCGGATTTCGACAATTAATGTATATATGTATGAATATGCCAATTTATAATAATAATAAAAACATTTCTGATATAAGGTTAATCAATTTAACTGATTTTGTTGGCTATTGTTATGTCAGTAATAAAAAGTTATATAACTATTGTATTTAACCATTAAACCTATGTAGACTTTATTTAAGAATTTAGGTGAGTTAAGTTTTGTTTAAAAAAAAAACACATGGCAAACAAGAAGCACCTTAATAAGGTTTTATTACCATCAGTACAGGTATGTTTTTCAAGTAAAAGAAACTCTCCTTTTAAGGTAAAAGATAATCGTATAAGGATGTAAAAATCTGTAAGTAAATCCTTACTTTATTTAGGCTGTTTCATGTCCGGTCAACAGATAGTTCTATAAACAGTTAAATTCAGAAAAGTAGAGGTTCTTTAGTCAAGTATGGTTCAGACTGGTCGAGTCTTGTTCACTCTTTTGTCGAGTTTGGTTCAGACATTTGGTCAAGTATAATTCAGACTGACAAAATATGTTGAGAACTGGTCGAGTATTAGTGGAGTACAGGTCGAGAATGGGTTAAGACTGTATAACGACTGGTCGAGTAATAGATCAGACTATTTTCGATGGCAAAGTTAAGGGTCAAGTACAAATCAGTACCGTGGAGTATGATTAAGATTTGGGTCGAGTAATATCGAGTAAAATTCAGACCAATTCAGACTGGTCGAGTAGAAATCAGTACAGTCGAGTACAGATATAGGCCATTTAAGACTTTTACTGGTTTGTAGTGATTGCTTAAGATTATCTGATATCTTAATTTTTTATCAAGCTATAATGACTTTTAAGCATAAGTGAATTGAGAAAAAAACATTTTATAATAACAATTCTTCAATAGTCACTCAAAATTGTTGTCTTTCAGATTTATTTTCGTGTGGAAAGAGGCTGTAGATAAGGAGACACTTTATCTCCCCACCTTTTGTTGCATACTTGGCATTCTAGTCTGAAATAGTAATGAGATAAAGGGTATAACGATAGATGATACCGAGTTTATATTGTATCAATATGCAGATGACACATCACTTATATTAGATGGATCGCCTTCCTCTTTAGAGGCATCCCTCCGTATCTTACAATTCTATGCCGAGATATCAGGACTAAAAATTAACTTAGATAAAATAAATGTTATATGGATAGGAAGTAAAAATCATATTCAAGATAAAATATGTGTAAAGTGGGGATTGAAATGGGGTTCAAGAACCTTCAAATTATTGGGTTTTACTTTCTGTGTTGATTTGGATAGAATGTTTAACCTAAATCATGCTCCTCGAATCCAAGAAAGAGAAAATATTATACAAAAATAGTCAAAACAGTCGCTTACCCCATTTGGTAAAATAACTATTATAAAATCTTTACTTATATCAAAATTGAATCATCTGTTCCCATCCATCCCAAGTCCAGATATCAATGTACTACGTCAACACACTCTTTTGGGATGATAAACCTGACAAGGTAAATCGAGAGCTTGTATCTCAAGAATACAGCAGAGGGAGTTTAAAAATTATTAATTTGAGAAATTTTATACAAGGGCTAAAACTGACTTGGGTTAGAAGATTATTTAATTCAAATTCAAAGTGGATAAAATTATTTACTGCTACACAAAATATAAATTTTACAGAGTAGGCTTATTTTGGAACAAGTAAAAAATTAGATCATCTATTTTGGAAAGAAATTTTTTATGCCTTGAAAAATATGTCAAAACTCCGACATTCTTGTTATTTTGACATGTTTGAGGAAGTCATCTCTTCATCTATATGGAATAATGAGAACATTAAAATTGATGATGTCTGTGTTTATTGTAATAGTTGGGCACAAAAAGGGGTATGGACTGTGAATGACTTTTTAGATGAGCAAGGAAATATATTGTCCTATAAAAATTTTGAAATGCTTTATAATTCTAAACCCATATTTTTACAATTTTATGGGATGAAAATAGCATTAAAAAGTGGTTACAACCTATGGGAATCAACACTGAAAGGAAAAAAAAACAACAAGCTCTTTTACCTTTCAATATTAACATTTGTAGACAAAGGTTCAAAAGACATGTATAATATTTTAAACCAAGGTACAACACCAGTTGTAGTTGCAGCTGAGTGAAAATGGGAGATTATATTAAAAATTGTTGGAGAATGGAAAAAAATACATAATTGTGTTGCTAAGTTTTCTAATTTACCAAGCTCTGTTGGTTTCAATACTGAATTATTCACCATATTTTAGGTACTAATACTTTACTTTAAAAAATGAACCTTGTACAGTGTAATTTATGTACATTTTGCAAGGAAGAACCAGAAACCATAGAACACTTACTGTGGGGCTGTAATATTGTAGCAGACATCTGGCACCATCTGAATGCTTGGATTTTGGATGGAACACATATTTAAATTCCATTAAATGTGGATATTGTCATATTTGGCCTCTATTATAACTATAAACTAAATTTTATAAAAAATTAAATAATTGTACTAGCAAAGTACTTCATCTACAGATCAAAGATGCAAGAGGAGAACCTCATAAAGAGGGACTTAAAAATAATATTAAAGAAAATTTAATTTCAGAAAAGCATATATGAGTGTGAAAGAATGTCACATGTACTGGAACCCCTGGGTTAAAGTCACTGATTATATATTTATGATGAATTATTAATGTATAAATGTGCTTGTACTGTAATTACAATTATCATTATATTAATGAAAATGTTATGCTTCGTCCATATATTTTCTTCTGTTATATTGATCGTATTATTATTATTATTATTTTTTTCTTTCATTTGCTTGATTATGCTTATTTATCTCGCTTGCTTAATTATATGCCACTATAGATGAATATATGTAAATGCCTGTCAATCCATGATGAAGAAAACAAAAGAAATTATAAAAAAAGAAAAGTAAACACAACTGACCTATAAAGTAAGAATAAAGTTTCCTCAAGATTTGTAATAAAGTATGCAAATTATCGATGCAAATCAGCAATCTATCATGAAATAAGAATGTGGCTGCTCAGTAAGTAAATTGAAAAAACCATACAAATTTCCCTCCAAGAGGAACATGTATATCCATAAAGATATACAGTCTTATTTAAGATTGTAAATATAGAAATCAAAGTAATATAGAAAAAACATGTTAACTGGATAGTATGACAGTTCAAATTGAATACCAATAAATTCATTATTACATACAAATTTACAATAAGAAATGTATCAAATTTCACTCTAATACATCCCCAAGGCCGAAAAATGACGGCTCGGCATTTCATCCTAGGTAGGAGCATTACAAGAGGAATTAAAAATGTCGAGAATGGTTCGTCATTCCGCTGTCTGAAAATCTTGAAATAAAGATGTATGATCTGTTAAGGATTTCAAACAGT